TTTGTTTTTTGATCTTCACCCCAACTTCAATAACTCGTTCAACATTCTCCAATAGAGTTAAATTTTGCCGGTTAAATTTGAGTTTTGCGCTTTAGTAAACAAAAATTAAAAAAAAACTTAAAAAGGAAAATTAGACATAAGAATAATCATTAAATTGTATGTATGTTTTCACTAGTTTTGTTGTAATATAAACACATATAATTTAGTTAATAAACTAAAATACGTTTAGGGTGTCATACATAAGCACATTATGTATTATACGAATAAAATAATAACAAAAATGCTATCTATATAAATTATACATTATTCTTTATAAAAACCATAAATACACATACACACCACTCCCACTTGTGCAGAGAAAATCAAATCCTAACATGGCTCCATAAACTTAAAACAAACATAAACAAATTAATATGTAAGGAGATTGTTAAGACATCGCAGAACAAAAGTATCATGAAAGCATGTCCATTTAGTTCCAAATACACACATACATACATATGTACATATTGCTCATTTACTAAAAGACTGTCACAACTCAAAAAACGGAAGTTTTCAGTAGAAGCGTTTGAAGTTTTCAATTTACTCATAAAATGCTGAAAATGCAGATGCATATTCCCTTCACACGCGAGGAGTAGCTCTACTGTGACAGCCTTTTAGTAAATGAGCGATATGACATTAACCGCTTACTATAGATATTAAATATTTTTTGTTTGTCAGTTAATAATTATAATTGTGTTTTGTCTGTCGTATGCGTCCAGCACCAAGCTCTTCTTATTTTCCATTTCTATTTAATTTTTTGTCCTTTTTTTTGGTTTCCTTTCCCTGTTTTCTTAACCTTCAAAAATCAGTTGGTGTTTTGGTTACAGAAGAGGCCTTGACTTTTCTGCCACTAAATCAGTGCAGTGCTTTGCCACTTCTTTTCTTGCACTCAAGCGCCAATCCTTTCCTAAACGCTCATACGCTGAACACACAGTGGACGTTGAATAACTCACATACACACACACACACACACACACACACACATAATCGCACATGAACACTGCTATATACACAAACAGAGAAAAACATTTTGCTTTGCAATAAAATAAAAAGAAATGGTGTAAATCTCGTAAGTTTTGTGTTAAAAAAAAGAATAAGCAACGCGTAAATAACAAATTGATTATAAGAAAACAACAACAATGAACAAGTTAATAGCAGCAACAAGTATGCGAAGTTGTTATTGCAATACATCAGAAACACAAACGAAAGTTATATTAGTTATTCTTAATCGTAAACAATGGATGGATGAAAATTTAATTTTTATTACTTACCATATAATTAAACTACTATTATAGTTATAAAAAAATATCACTATCACTATCGCTATTATGATTAATTATGCAAATAAATTTATTAAGTTATGTGAGTTTTATATACAAATACGTATATTATACATATGTATGCAACTACATACACAGTTGCGCACAGCCCTCTGCTCTACTAAACCAAAACTCCCCTCCGCACCGAACTTGTATACACGTTTCCAAATACAAATTTCTTTCTTCTTCATTTCATATTAATGTATATCTGAATTTCTCTTTTTTCAAACTTCTATAACTGTCTCTTTTGTTTATTGCATTTAATCCCATACATTTGATTATCTATCTAACTTCCAACTTAAGAAGAAAGAAGTAATTAGCACTTGGCATATGTTTCTTTTTTACGCACTTCGTTTGATTGTATTTACCTAAATATTGTAGATTTCTGTAACGCAAATGTTTCACAGCCAGGAGTGAAAACGAAACAAATATAACAAAAACACGAAAAATTAAGCGTAAATGAATCAGCAGATCAAATGCAAGATAAAAACTTTGTATTTTAAAGTTTTATTTACGTCTCCATATATAAATATATATATATATATATGTAAAACTAAATTTATAAAGTGGAAAGAAGAAAAAGTAATAAATTAAATAATAGTTTTTAATAGTTTTTAAACAAAAACAAAGAGTTTTCTATTGCAAGATATTACAAAAAGATATGAGTTTGTATGTATTTTGTTAATTGCAAATGTAAGTATGTAAAGGAGTTGTAAGCCAATTGGTTTACCCGCATAGAGTGTACCTTAGTTAGATCCAAAGCTTTCATTGCACAAATTCCAGAAAGTGGAGAAACATTATTTCTCCTGAATTTCCCCTACGCGCGATTCGTTTGGTGGAAAGCCGTGGAGGCGCACTATATCTTCGTTTAAAGTTTTTTGGCAAAAAATGTCAGTTACGCGGTTTTACAGAACGCCGATACGTGGGTTTGTTCTTTAAACGACGATATGTATGTGTATGCTGTTAGGCAGGATGCCTGCCTTGCGATTACTGGGGCGATCTCATCATGTTCAACGGAAGCCTGAAATGTCATCCCAACATGTTACCGATTGTTTTCTTTATCAAGGATACTGCTTCTACGAAAAGAACTTACATGTCGCTAGTGAAAAGTTGGTAAGTCCGATTTTTATAAAAACTCATATTTTGATATGAGGCTAGAGAAATTAAAAATTATTGGCCTTCAATGAAAAGAAAATTTGCAAAGTTCAAAATAGGCGCCGAAACCCCGATAAGGCCAAAATAATATGAAGTCTTTTTATACAGAACTAATGCTTCTGTTTCGTATGGAGTTTTGCTTTGCTTTAAGCAGGCAAAATGTTGTATTCAAAGTTTTCCGAAATACTTAAAGAAAATCGCTTCAAGAAGTTTTTGCCTCCTGTAAAATTGGTAAAAATGGACTTAGCAACATTTAACTCGTAAGCTAGCGATATGTACAAGCGTATAGATTTATACCTGGCCGAGGACTGTCACTTCCGCATCATTCTCCGAAAACTCTTTGGGGAATTTATGTACATGCTGTTACGCCCGCAAATACAGTTGACCGCGAAAATAAGTTCAAACGTTTTTCTTCGCCGTCAATTTTGTAAGAGTCTTTCAACTTCTTAACCGACTTCATAAAAAGGAGAAAGTTATCAGTTCATCGGAATATATATTTTTTAACCGACTTCCAAAAAAGGAGGTGGTTATCAGTTCGTCGGAATATTTTTTTTTATGTATGTTACCACTTTGTGCCACGCTAACCGATTTTAAAGGAAAGGTGTTACCTCACAGGTGGTCCCATAGTAATTTGGTTTAAATCCGATCACTGGGTCATGAAGAAATTACCGATAATCTTAAATTTTTATTAGAGAAATGAAGTCGGTTTTGTTTTCGCTTAAAAATTATTTGTTTTATGTAAAGTACATACATATATGTATTTAAAAAAGATCTTGGCGGTCCCTGTAAAACTTCAAAGACAAAAAATGTGGGCTCAGTCGTTAAATGTAATGGAACTTTGGTTAATTTTTGTTGCCTGCTTTCCTCTCTCAGAAATCAAAGGTTATACTATAAAATGACTTAGGTGTAAATACTCGCTTTTTTCCCAATGTTTGGTGAGATTTTTTCATTGTTCGAAAAATTCCTTTTGCGAAATTATGCAAAAAGAGGCCGAAAATCAAAAATTAATAAAATTAAAAATTACATATATCTGCAAAGTCGCGCGCAAAGATCAAATTATATATTCTAAAACTACATAAAATTCTCTAAAACATTCGTTTAATTTCAAGACCGGACGGACCGGTACTCAAACTTTTTTTGACTAATAATCTTTAGCATCTACATTTCAAGGTAAATTTTTTGGTAAGAAAATAGGAAAGTACCAAAAAGTATAAATACCACGATATTCAAATAATTGATTACAGTTGAAAAAGAAACATTTTTTTTAATGGGTTAATCGCCAAAGGCCACTTAACTGATTACCCGGTATCGCGCCGATTCCCGTATTTCTTTAGAAATGTATTGTTCATGAAGAAGCGAGGTGAGTAAATAATGCGAAATGTGGTATTTGTGACTTTTACTTTTACCTCTCGTAAGTCCAACCGGTCAACCGGTTTTTCTATCTGCCTCCATATAGTCGAAACACTGTGCGCCGTAAGTGTTAATTTTGCGATATGGAACATGTAATTTTTAGCATTTAACAAGATTTATGGTATCCTGCCCATTGCAATACATAACTATGTACATACATATGTACAGTGACGAACAAAAGTATTGGCACAGGAATTTTTCGTAATATATGCAAAGTTTTTTATTCTAATTTATGTTCGATAATTTTGTATAAAAATATAGTTCATTTTACACCAAAAAACATAAAAATAAAATCTCTTAACTTTGTGCAAAACTCAGGAAAATTCATTAAATTTGCGCACTAATTTGCAACTTTTTATTCAGACTTTTAGAAAAATTCTAAGTATGCAGTTTCATAGTCCATTAAATTTCAGTATGACAAAATGCAAGTTTAAAGTTGCTAGAAAATCGCGTTGATTTTTGGCAATTTTTTTAGCGGAAAGTGTTGCTCATTTTCTCCATAGAAAAAATAATTGTCGAATATACTTTGTATGGAAGAACTTGCGTGAAAAAAAATTACCAAAAATCAACACGCTTTTCTAGCGACTTCAAACTTGCACTTTGTTATACTAAATTTGAATGGGATATAAAACTGCATACTTAGAATTCTTCAAAAAAATTTGAATACAAATTTGCAAATTAGTGTGCAAATTTTATGAATTTTCCTGAGTTTTGCACAAAGTTTAGAGATTTTATTATTATGTTTTCTGGTGTAGAATGAACAATATTTTTATAAAAAATTATCGAAAATAAATTAGAATAAAAAGCTTTGCATATGTGACCTGGTCTACGGAAAGGGGGCTTAGGTGTCAAAAAATCAATTTTCACTTTTTGGTTGATTCGGATGGAAGATGAGATGCTTTTTCACGTGGTGAAAAGCAGAAAATCCTAACTTGCTTAGAAGTGTACTAAAAATGTAGAGAAAGAAGAGTAAAAACGAGTAAACGAAACGAGTTGCTTACTTTTAACAGCTTTTTCACAGAAAACTAGTTTTCGCACGTGAGCTCCCTTTTCGTAGACCAGGTCACATATATTGCGAACAAATCACTGCCAATACTTCTGTTCGGCACTGTATGTACAAAGGCGGTCGTCGCACAGTGGAACTTGGATAGGTTACACCTCGAAACCCAGTAAACTTATATAAGAACATATAATTCGGTTCCTAATTTTGGCATAAAAAATAGACTGAATCAGCCGATAATTCGAGATTACTTCTCTCCGTTTCTCGTAATTAAGAGACAGAAAGTGTATTATAAGAGATTATAGCAGCGAAGCGATTTTTTGCGAAAAAAAACTTGATATTACAAAATAGTTGGCTCTTAATTTTTCGAGCTATGCACGTTTTACTGTATAAAAAGCTATACAAATGGTTGTCCTGACAACACCTTGCAAAAAAGCCTAGGACACAACAAATGTAATTTCCGTCGCAATGGTGCTTTAGTGAAAAATCAGTCATTCGATTTGAGTTGCAGCTCAAATTAGTTGACCTAAGGACGTTACGCAAAAAAAATTAAAAATTTTTTGCAAAAATTCCAACATGACTGAAGACTCGTGGGTGTTAGATTCGCTGGTGTGCTTTCTACATGGACCTGTTTGGAATGCGCCACTTCAGACGTTCATCGAGGAGAAATCATTAGGTATTTTGTGCGGTTTTCAGTAATTTAGAAGATTCTGACTGCAAGCCTTTTTTGCATACTTTTCGGCGGCGCAGTTTTCGATCCCAATATGCAAATTGATGAGAATAATTCCGACATTGTGGCCATACATAATGAGTACAAGAATCTAGTAGACTACATGCTGGGCAGCTTTATGGAAGAAATGCAAATTACTCCGGAACAATTTGAGACGGCTTGCATGGAAGGCCGAAACCCGGACAATCATTTGCACTTTCACCAGGGTCTTTTTCAGCAGGTGTATGCGTTATTTTGGCACTTACATGCTTACATGCATACTAACTTTATCTGGGTCTTTTTGAACCGTTCTCGCATTGCAGATTTGGGCAGCCAATGATATAAAAATGTTTATACGCATGATGACCCAACGGAATGTGGAGTTACAACTACAGGCATTGGATTTGATTGAGAAAAATCAATTAGCTCTGCTGCAGGAGAGCGAACCCGCTGACAATGCCAGCTCCACGGAAACCGGTAGTTCTCATTGGTTAGTGCTTTTTCTTTTAAAATCTCCCGCTTTCGCTTTATACTATATTTGACTAATTCCAGTGAAAAATATGATGAGGTCGAGGATTTTATAGCGAAGTCCTTGGAGAAGGAACTAGAAAGCCCAGAAGCGGCAGTAACCCCTGAACCGGAGAGTGTAGACTCAAGCGTGAACGAAAAATTTGCGCGTTTGAATTTATTCTTCGACAACCAAAGGGTTAGCAATTACATAAGTTTCGTTTTCACGGTACACAGTTAACTCACAATTGTCAGTGTGAAAACTACCCTAAAAATATTTTAAATTTTTGTTTTATGAAACCAACTTTTCTGAATCGGAATTATTTCCGCAGATTGATCCCGATGATGTTGTGTCGCGTCAGGAATACCTTCGCCAGCAACGTGATAAAATTGTTGAAATTAAGAAAAAGACACGCGCCAAGCAGCTGCTCGAAACGGTGGCGCGCAAAAGTGCTACCAGTCAGGCGTCGTCTACTGGACGTCCGTCCTCAGCACAAGTGGCGCAGAAATTGCTGGAAAACGGCGGTAAAGCCACCGAGCTGCTAGAAAAGGAAAACGTTGGTGAAGGCGCAGGTGAAGGTGAGCCGCAGAGTTCGGCGTTGCAATTGCGTAAGACCTTGGCTAAACGTTTGCGGGCCGAGGTGGTGGAACATGAGTAGAAAAAGCTATTAAGTAAGGTTGTAATTAGCTAAAAATTGTACTTTTTCACTTTTTAGTGCAATAAATGAGTAATACCCGTATTCAGAATTCTTCCGAAGTAAAGTATTTACATATGCAGGTGAAATCCTAGATATAGTAAACTTTCATCGAAGTCTCACGTTGAGAAGAAGATTTCCGAATTCTTAATATCATTCTGGCAATGTAAACGGGTCTTTGGTAAAACGAGGGCTGTTCGCAGCTAGAGGAATCCTGTGGATTTACACCTCTATGAAAAGACCCATAATCAGCTACGTATCTAAATCAATAGCTTGGCAAATTCACTTGCCAAATTTCAAAAAACGATACCACACCTTAAGTGAAAAAAATTTCAAAGGACTTTGAAATCCTAAAGATATGATTAATTCAAAAAATTATTTAATAAAATTAGTGCAATGTAGAATAACATTATGGGTACCAAATGAAAGAGAGAATTCTGTTGAATTTAAAAACACAATAAAGTTTTATGGTTAAATAATTTTAATCAATTTTGTCTTTTCAAGTAATTTTCAAGGATTTTTAAGGACACATTTTTTAAAGGACTTTTCCATACCCGTTCGTCCTTATGCACCAACGAATTTATTCTGTTTTAATTCTACAGAATTTTTTCTTATATTTGATAGCCTTATCTTTAAACTACATAGCGCTGAATTAAAAAAAAAAATTTTAAATAATCATATTTTTTAAATTCCAAAGTCCTTTTAAAAATATCCTGACGCTAGAGAGAAAAACTAAGTACGCAGTTATGCGTGACTCAAACAAATGACCACGTATTGATTTTTTTTTAAATATTCGTAATGTTTTTCGAGCAAATTTTTTTTGTTATTTTTCTATAAAAGTACCGTTTAAGCTTTACAAAAAACCACATAAATCACAGTTACGAACTTTATACAAAATTTAGGAAAAAAAAGTCTACAAATTTTCATCAAAAGTTCAACTTTTTAATGATTCTTTATAACACTTTTGGGTATGCAATTTTAGTTTCTTTGAACCTTGATATTTATTAAAATTTTTTAGTTGAATTTTTAACTTTGCAGGATTCGTCAAAAAATATAACGTTAAAGACCATCTAAAACCACAATTATCTTTAAAAACAACAAAAGATAGGAAACAATGTTACCCGTAACGTTAAAAATAAAAATTTTCAACCATATGTTTATATTCTATTCCTAATAAGGTTAATCAATTATTGGATCTGGTATGATAAAAATTTTAGTTCACATATCGTCACCTGAAATGCAAAAAGACTTAACAAACATCATCGTTGAAAGGCAAAAAGTCATAACTAATAAAAAATTCAAAATTCACTTTTTGATTTATATGATGGATTTCATCGAATTACAACTCCCCACATCATTTTATAAAAAAAAAAATTAATATATTAGTCACGACTTTTTCCATTTCATCTACGATGTTGTTACGTCTTTTTGCATTTCAGCTGACGATATGTATGTCCATACATATGTATGCGCTGAGTGGGCGATTGAAACATTGAGAGAATTATATAAGCTGCCAAAGCATTGAATTTTGCCTACTTCTAGGCCTACCATTTTTTAATTTCGCCACCGGACGAAAGGAAGAATTTTCCGCCAATTAGTCAACAATACCACGGGTTGTGACATCGCCCACCGGTAGAAATTTTTAAATTTTCTTAAAGGGAAGAAATGTCTTTGTTTTCTAATGGGTCGATTACAGATGGCAACCGAACATCGGTTGCGATACCGGTGGCTGAAATTGTATTACAGATGAACTAAAGGCTGGTCACTGCATTTTCGTGGTTGCATCGAAAACTTGTATTTATTTTTATTTAATTTTTTTGCGACTTATTTACACTCAAATCTCGGTTGCTGATACTGCAAAATTCTATTATCTTTATACAATTAATTATAGTTGCTATTCATAAGCTATTAGCAGTGCGCGCTACCACTTTGCAGTGCCTGGGTTCGGGCCAAGTTTCCGACAACATCAAAAAAAAAAAACATAAACAAGTTGTTTTCTAATGGCGGCCGTCACTCGGCAGGCAAACCTCCAACTGTATTCTGCGATGAAAAACAGACACAAATCGGAGATGCTCGGCCAAGCATTAACATTTTGTGTAAGCGCCAGTCTTATTATTATTGTTATTATTTAAATATTATTTAACAAGTACTTTTAATATCTCTGTTCATTTTAATTTAAGTGGCGTTGCCCAACGGCAACACAATGCAGGTTGCATTGCCATCCATAATCGACCCATTCATTTTTAAATATTTTGTATGCAAATTAAATACATGCTTAGAAGCTTTATATGAAGGCTTTGGTTTTTATTAGTGTTTGGCATTACAGTTTTGAGTTTATATTTTAACATTTAAAAGCTATACTTAGATTAAAAGGGTACTTTCTGTTTTACACATTAAGTGCTAGCCATGTTTTATGCGAGTGCAAATTTCGTATATGTATTAAATTTTTACGACACAAAAAATATATTTTCTAACAAAGTTTCCAGCTATGTGTGCACGCGCGCGTTCCGCATATTGCACATGATGACTAGTGTAATGAATTAGTAATTAATAAACAATATTTTTTTGCGCATAAATCACACTATACAAACAATGTTTGGTGCATAGATGAAACCTTTGCATTGTGAAAAAAATATATTTCCTTTTTTTAGGAGTACATCATCAAGTACATATGTATGTCTGTATGTATCCTGTAAAAGTATTGCATATTCTGTTCTCACAAATAAAATTCCCCAAAATAAAACAGCCCAACTGCTTTTGAAAACGTGATCTACGCCGATGATCACGCATGCCAACAGCGGCTGAGTTAATTTCATAAAAAAATTAGCAATATCGAGCAAATCTCTCGCGACCATCAAAATTAACATTTTCCATTTTGTAACTAAAGATTTTCAAGCTACGCTCTACTCTAAAATGAAGAAAAAATACTTCCGTACGTCGGCGCTAAGCCGGTATACGATCACGCAAATACGACATGATAGCATCTGTGCCTTTGACAAGTATTTGATGACGCGGTTGACGGAATGGATTACCAAGCAGCTCCAGAGTACTGCAAGTGAAACAATATAATTAGAAGAAAATATATACATATGCACATATGTAATTAGAAGACTTGGATTAGCTATGTCAACTTACACAATGTTTTTAAGATTACCAAGTACGGGTGGCACTTGTTCAATGTTGTTGTTACGTAAATCTAAGATGGTGAGCCGCTTCAAAGCGCCCAAGCCCTCCGGTGTGGCGTCGATATGCTTGATACGATTGTCGCTGGCTAAGAAAATTTCAAGATTTTGTGTTTGATAGAGACAGCTCGGTATATGGTCAAAGCTAAAATGCCAGAGGAAGGAATAATTTGATTATGTAACAGTGTGTGCATTAGAAATTAGTAAACACCTAAAGCCTAGTTCTTTGCTCAAGTACTTACCGATTATTACAAATGTTCAATTCTCGCAATGTGTTGAGCACACCCAGCTCGCTCGGAAGGTCAGAGAGTTGATTACACGATAAGTTGAGCAGAGTTAGCCGCGTGAATTGCGACAAAAATGTTGGCACTTTGGTTAATTGATTATTGGCGAAAACTAATTCGCTGGCACTGCCCTTGAGGAGTTGAAGTCTAGGATATATTAAAAAGGAGAATAGACGAAAATGGTTAGTACTTAGAAACTCTTTACTTTCAGTTAAAAAATAGTCTGACTGAAAAAATAGACAACATAGATAAGAGTTCGGTCGCTTAATTGCAACTAATTTCTGCAAAAAAAAAACAATGAATTGTTTTCATTAAAGCATAGACCGGAAGTTTGTAGTAAATGCAACCCACAGTATTACTGCAAAGAATTAAACTCGTTTATTCGTAAACCGCGTATAGTTCAAGGTTTCTGCGCCATCTAGGCCATTATTATATCATCACTCCCTGATTACCTTCAGTCCCCACTCCCTGCTTTGCTAAAATGGGCATCTCAGGCCTCAAAGACACATAACTAGACAAATCTTGGCAATTTTTATGGTTCTTCTATACAGAACTCTTGAAAACTCAGTCTTGTCCATTGAATTCTAGCCACAAGAAACAACAACTTACTACATATATATCATATATATATATATATATATGTAGGTTTTAATTAATAAAACACGTATGTTTGGTGGTTTATAGAATATAGTTTAATTTAAGATAGTTTAATTTCA